AAATGAGAGTCAGGCTTGACTCGGAATTTCTTTGCTGCTGTTAGGCTGAGTATGGCCCCGGGACTCTGACTCTGCAGAACGTGTTCTTAGCTCCTGAACACTCTCACAGCTGTCAGACGGTCTGCACTTCACACTGGAGGAAGGCTCCCTTCTGTGTTCTCTTCTAATGCCCGATGCACGGTTCTGGTTCTGATCTAAGCACCTCCCAAATGCCTGTCCCATCCATTGGAAGTGTTTGGATAGTAGCTTTTTTTTTTTTTTTTTTTTTTGGTACCAGAAATCGAACTCAGGTCCTTTTGCTTGCGAGGCAGGAAGCAGAAGCACTGAGCTCAATCCCCGGCCCCACGGATAGTAGCTTTTTAAATCCTAAAATACACTGAGACTTGCTTTCATCAAATTTAGGTGAAATCAAAAGATAAATGAGCAAGAAAAAGAAACCTTCTAGGAAGCAATATTTTAGGCTGTTAGAGATAAATGAACCTTTTTCCTTAGTGTTAATTTTTGTCTTTTTTTTTTTTTTCTTTAATTTAGCTCTAACTTTGTGAGTCAGAAAAAAGGAGATGAAGGGCATCTATGGTCCCTCCCAAGCTAGCAGTTGTTTTCTCTTCATGATTTTTCTTTCACAGTTCAATATGCCACATTCAGAAGATGGAGAAAAGGTTAAGAGCACACACATGCATTTCAGTGTTGAAGTGGCAGTCACGGTAGATCTAAAGAAATGAGCTTTGATAATTACAGAGTACAGCATAGCTTGCTGACAGCAAGGGTGTGTGTTGAAGGTCAAACACTTCACTTTTTAAAATATTTTTAAACACTACCAAACTAAATGGCTGCCATCTTCCAGCCTATTGTAGACTAAGAATGAATACTGACATTTTGAATACAAATTTAAATGCCTAATGAGTATTCTAAGCCAGGAAACATCACCATCTATGGGTTCAGAACTCTGGAAATTAACGGGTCTTATGTGGCTCTCAGGAGCCCAGGGATCTTCCCTCTTCTGGAGTTCTGTTAGAGCCTTCTGAGTGCCCCTCTGTGTCCCACAGCCAGGCAGCCCTAAGTCCTCACCCGGCTCAGGATCATTCCAGTCTTCCAATGAATAGAGAGGGAAGAGAGGTCTAAATAAGTTAAAAGAACCAGAAAATTCAACAATGTGTCACAGATAGGGAGGTCATTATGCCTGGGTAACCCCAGATATTAACAGTTGCGGAAAGTGAAACACTACCCACAACTTAGCAGTCAGTGAGCCCTGCTTGGAATCAGTGATCTTCTGTCCCACAAGGGTGGCATTTTACAGTTCAGCGAAAAATAAAACGGACCCTGATATCTTCATTTGTCTCTCTTTTTTTTCTGCTGTGCATATTTCACAGCACAGTGATTTGGGGTCTATCATGTGTCACTTGCTAGAGTTATAACTACAGAGCTTACTGTAAATATCTATGCACGGGGGGAAAATGCAGTGAACTGAAAACATGGAAACTAATCCTTAACCTTCATATCAATTTAAAGTTTTACTCTGGGTCTAAATACCACAGGTTAAACATTTTAAGGTGGTGGTGAAGTTACATTGTTTCAAATGCTGGGGTTCCCTGCCAAGAAAATTAATTGGGAATATTGTTTAAATGTCCATTTAATCATTTTCCAACTTAGTGGATCAAGAGAACATTCTAAATAAGTAACAACCTCGGGAGGACGTATCTGTGCCTACTACGGATTTACAGCATGCAAAATTTTCTGCCTCACCAGGTGAAAGGGTTAGTTTGGAAAGAGGAGATGGATGCAACTAAAAGAATTTTGAAAATGGTTTCCTTTCAATCGTGTGTCTTTTTATTTCTCAGGACTCAGCTGTGCAGAAAGCACGGGCTGAAGGAAAGCACTTCTGAAACAGTTTGGTTGGAATGAACACTGCAGTCTGGGCTTGCCTGCTGGACTGAGAACAGAGCTTCACTTGCTGTGGGCTTTGTCCGTCACAGTTTTACACTCAAACTTGCTCCCTGCTTTCCAGGCCAGCATTCTGCGACTGAGCGGGTCACCTGGGAAAGTGAGGTTAGCAAGTCCAGTTACCTTGTCCGGAAGATGAATTTATGCCCTTCCGGTGCAGCCAAGCACCTCTGCCAAGGTCACCAAGGGAATCCCATTCTGAGCTTCCTCACTCCAAAAACCACTGCATTGATTCTCCCTACCCAAGAGCAAGGCGGATCTTTCCATTTTCTGACATTCTTTTTTTACCTCCTTTTTCAGAGTTCTGTCATTTTCAGTGTAAAGCTCAGTAAACACACCAATGATTCTGGAGGAAACTCTGGATAGTACAGGTTTTGTGATGCCCCAGAACTGTGGAAAGAGACAGCATGAACTTACTGCCGGGAGGCCAAGGAGGGGCCTCATCAGGTCCAGCTCCCGCAGGGAGAAGGCTGGGCCCTGGGGCCAGGGGTGACTGGCCGGGTGTCACAGCCACGGGGAGAGGCATCCTCACCAGCCTTGGAAATGGGTCAAAGGCAGCAGCACTTTGCTTTGCGGTGAAGTCCGGCAGACCAAGATCTAGCTCCTTTGTCACTTACTGCCCTGACTGTCATCAGCGGAAAACCTGCCTGTCTCTGGTAGGGTTAAATAAGAAATGTGTAGAAGGTGCCTAGGAGGTGTGACACAAACACAACTGTAGCTATTATTTTTCAATCTAACAAAATAAAATGTCCAAAGGACCTACCGTTACTAGAGTCTCCCTGGGTTGGAAGCAGAGGTTAGGACTGCCTCCTCTCTCCTCTGTGTGACACCTCAGTACCTGTGCAGCTTGATTATTCCTATGACTGCTTTTAACTTCCCAGGTTAAGATTTCACTGAAGAGAGAAGTTTCAGTCTCCCCTCTGCTCCAAGCTAAGTATAGCAAATGACTTTTGCATCCACTGCAATGTTTAAAAAGCAACAGAATATTTAGACCTTTCATCCATTTTGATTTTAGTTTAGTGCATGGTGAAAGACATGGGTCTAGTTTTAGTCCTTGACATGTGGACAGCCAGTTTTCCAGCACCATTTTTAAAGAGGCTCTTCCTTCCAGCGAAGGAGTGTGGCCTCTTTGTCAAAGTAAGGTGGCTGAGTGTGTTTGGAGTTGTTTCTGCATCTTCTCATCTGTTCCATTGATTGTTGGGTCTTTTTTTTTTTTTGCCAGTACCATGCTATTTTTATCATAGTAGCTTTGTAGTATAATTTCAATGCAGGGATTATGATGCCTCTTGCCTTGCGTTTGTTACCTAGAATTGTTTTTGTTATTTTAGGTTTCTTCAAGTTCCCAAATTAATTTTAGGGTTGTTTTCTCTAATTCTGTGAGGAATGCCATTGGTATTTTGAATGGGATTGCGTCTGTATAACAATTTCAGGAGTGTGGCCATTTTCACTGTGTTCTTCCTACCCAAGAGCAAGGGATGTCTTTCCATTTTCTGATATTCTTTTTGATCTCCTTTTTCAGAATACTGCAGTTTTCAATGTAAAGATCTTTTACTTTCTTTGTCAGGTTGATTTCTAAATATTTCATTTTTCTCAATGCTATTGTGAACTGTGTGGTTTCCCTAATTTCTCTCTCAGTGAGTTTGTTATTTATGTACTGGAATGCTATTGATTTTTTAGTGTTGCCTTTGTATCCAGCTATGTGACTGAATTTGGTTATTAAATCTAAAACAGAAACACCAAATCTGCTAGAAGATAAAATAGGTAGAACTCTTAAAGATATAGGTGTAGGCAAAGACTTTATGAACAAAACCCAGTTCACATGGGAAATATTACAAAGAATCAACAACTGGGATCTCATCTTATTAAAAAAAAATGCACAGCAAAATAAATCAACATAGTGAAGACACAACCCACTGAGAGGGAAAACATTTTTATCAACTGTTTCTCAGAAAAAGGACTACTATCTAGAAAACTCAAAAAACCATACCCCTCAAATTTAAAGACCCAATCCAAAACTGGGCATCTGAAATGAACAGACACTTCTCAGATGAAGAAGAAACAGCAAATATAAATATTAAAAAACGCTCAACATCACTGGTCATTCCAGAGATGCAAATTAGAACAATGCTGAGATGCCACCTCACCCCAGAAAGAATGGCTGCTATCAAGAAATCAACCAATAACAAATGCTGGAGAAGCTGTGGGTAAAAAGAACACTTTTCCATTGTTGGTGAGAATGCAGACTGGTGCAACCACTGTGGAAATCAGTGTGGAGATGCCTCAAAAAACTAGGATTAGAGGTCCTATTTGACCTTGCTATTCCCCTTCTTGGTATCTTTTGAAAGAATTTAAAACATCATACCACAGCGATTTATGCACATCCATATTTATAGTAGCACAGTTTGTAATAGCTAAATCTTTTTTTTTTTTTTTTTTTTTTT